TGTCTTAATGAGGACTAGTAGAGTTAAGTAGAGCTTTACTTTATATCTCTATTGGATATGTTTTATCTGTATTGTGCAGCACTTGGGAAACTGTTTTGTTTATGAAATGTGCTCTAGAAATAAAGTGGATTGGATTTGATTTAAAGGTTTAAGTTAAAACATTCACATGACTCCTTCAGTAACATTCATGAAATAACATCTTTCTGCATCAATATTTCTTTTCTTGGACATTTTTGGGGAGATTTGATGAGTTTTCTTGGAGTCTCTAGTGGCGAGATGCAGTCACTTCACGGGAAACGACTGCGGTGAATTGTGGGAGATGTAGCAGTGGCACAGAGTCACAACTTAAAAATAAACGATACCTTTTAACCCCTTGTGGGCCACATAAAATAGCTTGGCCTTGCCACATGTGTTTTATAGTATAGAAAGCTGATTTTCTAACTCAATACATCCCAATGCGTGACGCGGCCAACTAAAGGCCAGAGAGAACGTCCCCCCTCTCCCGGGCACAGCAGTTACCCGTGTGCTGCCCAAAAGAAGGGGGCGCCCAGAGGGAGAAGGGGCTCGAGCTGGGACATTCAAGCCAGGAGGACGCTTGAGCCGGAATTCATTTGTAGTAGGAGTGATTCATGCATGTTTGAGTAATCTTTAATAGCTTGTTTTCATAATGCCATTTGCCAGCATTGCGTAGTCATTTTGGTACAAATCTTTGATGTAATGTTGCTTAGGCTGATGACACACCCATTACAACATAATGATAACCGACAAGCACAATATATCCGCTTTAAAAAGGTCCTGCATCTGATTTTTTTGCATTGTGGTCTAAATTAGTCCACTGCAAACTAATCAGAAAGTGTTTTATTGTCCAATAACTTGGCAAATGTTGTGAAAAACACTCATAAACTCATTGTGGTGAATAATTAAAATGCTTTGAATGCAGAAAGTATGTGAGGAAGAACTTTGGACCACTGCAAACTGTTAATAAAGAATGAGAGTACAGTGCCTTAAAGAAACTGGCCTAACGTGTACAGTTAGTGTATTGTTGAATTGTTGAACACTAATACTGAGTCTACACGCAGTCCTCACACGCTACACAACAGTTGTACACAGGGACAAGCCAGCACCTGCACAAGCCTCTCTCAGACGGGTAAGAAGCATCTCCTCAGGCTCTCCGTGTGAGAGAAGGAGCGCTGGGTCAATATATCAGAGTACTATTTGTTGTATACAAGTACTTATGCTGCCATGCTGTCCATTTCTGCTCAAAGGTCAGAACTCCGACTAACATTTTCCGGCACGTTCCTTTTTGAGCACAGTAATGACTTAAAAGTAGCAATAAACAAGAGGAAAGTGTTCAAAAGCGCCAAAGAGCGAGTCAATTTGTCAGTGCAGGAGCAGGTCACAGAAGCAGGTGAACAGGACGAAGGCAAAATAAAACGTAAAAAGTACTTTCAATATTCAGTGTTGGGAGTAATAGATTACATGTACCGGCGTTACGTAATCAGAGTACAAATTATGAGTAACTGTATTCAGTTACAGTTACTGTTTCAATGAGTGGTAATTGGATTACAGTTACTTTGTTGAAATGAATGGATTACATGGCGGTGTTTTCCTGTTTTCTCATTTTGGGCTAAACCAGGACTAAACCAGGACTAAACCAGGACTAAACCAGGTCTAAACCAGGTCTAAACCAGGACTAAACCAGGACTAAACCAGTAGTAAAACCAGGTCTAAACCAGGACTAAACTATGACTAAAACCAGGACTAAACTAGGTCTAAACCAGGTTTAAACAATATGACACCTAACAGTAGGGTGGACATAATTTAAGGCAGCAGTGATCTCATATGGAAATCATTTCTCTATCAATAATATTTTAATACAGTTAAGGAAAGACTGGACAGACACTCACTTTAAGTAATTTAATGGATTACGTTACAAACTACATTTTGGGATATGTAATCTGTAATCTGTAGGGGAATACATTTTAAAGTAACCTTCCCAACACTGTCCATATTTTACCTGTTGGCTATCAAACTTTATTGAAGGTGCAGCTATGTCAGATTTTCTAACTCAGAACCAGCTCCGGGTTCTAAAATGGTACCAAGTTTCCAAGTAGGAATTCCGAGATGGACGTGTGTTCCAGTGTAAATTTACAAGTCTGCTCTCGGAAAATCTGACCCCCGAAAGACGACTGGAACACAGCATTACTCTCACCAAATGAAGTTATTAGAAGCAGCACTAAAACGTGAGCTACAGTACAGTTTTTTTTGCTTGTCACTATGGCTGCACAATTAATTGTAATGCAATCGATATTGCAGTTTGAACTGAATTTATTAGTTTGGAGGATAAGCCCCTTGATACGTCTCACCATCTCTTTTTCAAGGGGGTCCTAAATTTGAGTTAGCACAATGACCGAATCTAAAGGCTGCAATTATTTTGAAAGTAAAATGTCCTCTTCGAAAATCTGCCAAATTCCCTCCTTGTCACATAGATTTGTTTGCTTTACCTGAAATATTCTGTAGTATGATACAACTTTTCTATATTGCATTTTTCAGACAAAGTTAATACCATACTATGGAACATTCCAGGCAAAGCAATAACATCTTCACCCAAAACATGCTACATAGGTCTCCAGGAAGACCAGTTGATAGCCAAGGTCAGTTAAATATAATCAATCCATGAACCTGCTCAGGGACTATAGGTGGAAATGAGCACTGATGCTACAACCTGGTACAATGCATATCTCCTGTTAAGGTTAATGTAAAAATTGTGCGCTGTCCCTGTCTCATTAAAATAAATAAATGTGGACAAGGTGGTGGAAAACTTAAACAGTGCACCTTTAAGCAAGCCTACTGTGCAAAATTGACTTTCCAGAGCTTTAAACCATGTTATGGTTGTTCCCCTTCTCACTGACCCTCTCAGAGTTGTATTTGAAGTGACTCATGCATGTTTGACCTTTCATCATTTTTCACGATGCCGTAATGCTGATCAGCTCTCATTTTCAACACCACCAGTACACACTGTGACGTACTGTAATTTTTCTTAATCAGTGAGAAATGTAGGATTTGGCAGCGTTTTGTGGGAATTTTGGTCCAAATGTTAAAAGGAGAGGCCCACAACATGCGGAGCTTTGTTGTCGTTACGTTTACGGCAACTCCCATTGGACGCCGCAGTTTTCTAATATGGAATTTAGCACACTTGTTTCTTTTATTTGTTTTAGATCAATATTGTGATTTAAAATGTCCAAATGGTAACAGAATGATCCACAGGTGTCACAGATTATAACCATATAGCCAACACAAGCACTACAGGTCTGCTTTAAAGGGCCCATCTCATGCAAAATCAACTTTTCAAAGCTTTCTACCATCTAAGAGTGATGTGTGGGCCTTGTATATGTCACAGAAGTTTTTAAAATTGATTCAGCGTTTTTTTTTTTTTTTTTTAAACAAATTGCAGCGTATTTCTGCCACCCTCCCACGTGACAACGAACTAAAGCTGCTGCAACGATGATGCGGCAGCTACACCTATAACGCGTTTGATGTAGCAGAAAGCGCTTCGCACCCGCCCCCTTCCCCAGCTCCATCGCCTACGCCCCGCCTCCACTCCGCATGGGCTGACAATTCCCACATGAACACCTAAACAAAAGCGACAGCATAAGCTCATTGTTCTACACTGCAGTGTACACGATATAATAAGTTTATCTACTAGTGTTTATTAATACTTTATCAATCAGTAATGTCCAGCTGATGCCGATGCGGTGCTTGAGCTTCGTCCTCGTCTGATTCCGGGTCCAACACATGCGGCTGAACGCGCTGTATCGCCATGATGAATAAAAGTTTATTCCTACCACTATCAGGGTGCCCCTCCCTCCCTGAGATAGGCAGAGGGAGAGCGGTTCATTCGGAGCCTACGTCACATTTGGAGGGCGGGGGGATGAGCAATAGTCGGCCTTTCATAGTTCCTGGTCTGTGACTGTCTCCAAGAAATCAGTAAGATTTCAGAACTATTGTGTAATGGATGTTCCAAAACCCAAATAGTGCTTGTTTATGTGCAGAAGATACAACGTGAAAAGAGTTATTTTGCATGAGATGGGCCCTTTAAGTAAGCTCAGGTATACTGGTTTATGGAGTACTTTGGTGAGTAGAATTGTAGAGTAACAGGATATGTCTTTACACTGTACACATGTTTTACATAGTGGTGTAACAGGCCCTGCAGGCTCTCACCTATGGCTGTGTCCTGTTGCATAAGCACACATACCAATCTACTGAGTCAGCTCTAGAATCACCAGAGACAAGATCAATCATTATCTGTTTACAATAATGGTTATAACACCACTATATCCCGGTGAATGACTCTGAGGTGTCCGGGTCATGCTTCAGAGCCGCCTGTACAATGAAGAGACAATCCCTCATCAAGCACGTCAATGGCTCCAGTACTGTGAACAATAAAGTACAATATGAGTCTACTCTTCACGGCTATTGAACCAGAACAATGATAAAAGAAGGCAGATTGCAGTAGGCTGAACATGTAGAATACAATTTTCAACTGATATAATGAAGGTTTCTTTAATATTATCTTGTGGTTTTAAACTAGTTCTGATATAGATCAAGGCCATTTTAAGATTATACAGGAAAGGTTCAACTTTGTTCTAAAATATAAAATCACAGCTTTATGTCATCTTGTTCAAAGCTGTGATTTTATATTTTATTACTTATCTACTTTATTTTGACTTTTTTTTTTTTTCGACACCTGTCTCTTACTATCATTTTTGCTACTTATTTAGAATTTATTATTACCATTTATTTATTGTTTTTATCTATTTTATTTATTTTTTAGTACTGCTTTTATGTATTGATTTTAATATTTTATTCATTGATTTTATTATTATTATTTTATTTATTTATTCTATTAGTGTCCTTACGGTTAAAACATAATTTCTTTAATTTTTTAAAGATTTTTTAAAGATAATTTTTTTCTTTTTAAAGTAAAATGTTTTGCACTGCTACGTGAAGCACTTTGGAAACTGTTTTGTTTATAAAATGTGCTATACAAATAAAGTTGGATTGGGTTGAATTTATATTTTTTACTCTTTGTTATTATATTGTGATGTGTGAGCTACTGTGTCCAAATAATTTCCCTTGTGGATCAATAAAGTTTGTCTAAGTCTAAGTTTATTGCGTAGCATATATTTTTACAGTACTTTTAGCCATATTTTTTAACAGTAGCTGGTCAAATGAGTATCTAGTTAAAGTATTGATTAGTATTGGAGTATTTGGAGTATCTAATTGATTAGATACTGGATTTATTTGAACAGAACAGTATTGTTTATATTCAATTTAATGTAAAACCAGGTGGGAAAATTGCAACTATATACATTTACTTTAATCATGAAAATTACATTTTGTGAAAAAGTGTTTCATTTGAACTGTGACATTGAGAAGTTTCCTTAGTGTCGAAATCACGTTTTAGTTTTTAGTGTTCATTTTAGTGTCGTAGTGCAGTTAAATTTCTACTCAGCAAAAACCACTGGAGTCCAAGGGTTACACAAAAGAAAGCAGAGCAATAACCTGGTTCCCTAGA